CCAAATCTATAGAAAGATGATTTGCTATACATTTGTGGCATTTTTCACACAAAATGATTGAAACAAACAATTAATACAACAATTAATAAAACACTACTCAATCAAAACACGTGTTTGTATTACAATTTTTGTCAACAAAAAATAAGCGCAAGTCTTATATGTTGTCCATAAATAATGCACAGATTTAATATAAATAAACTGAATTGACATTAAAACAAATTAAATGTTTATTAGTTATAATTACCTTGGTTTATAAATTATTTAAAATTAATTTATTTTATTTATAAATTGTAATAAATTGTATTATTGTAAAAAATTAGCACAAGTTTTAGTAAAAGTTATTATTATTTATGAGACGTTATCTATGGGTTGGCCTCTAATTCATGGCTTTTCTCGTTTTGTTATTGTTTTTGTGAAAAATCAAAAATGAGTTTTAAATGAAACTGTGATTTGAGTTGTGTTTTATTAAATGTTTTAATTGTTTTCATTATTAATGAATTAATTGATCACTAAATGAGTGAAAAGACAGCAAATAATGTGTGAATTAGTAATCAATGAATTGATTGAAGAGTTATATAATGAAAATAAAAGACTAATAAATGAATTGAAATTCAGTTTAAAATGTAATTCATTTCTCGAGAAATATAGAAGTGTTTTATTAAGCGTTTGCATCGATTCACACAATAATAAGGTCTTAATTGAATCCCTGGAGAATCAGTACAAGACTATTATCACCGATGGATGCGCTCAACACTCGACCCAAACCACAACCACTCATAACTGGCCATTGGATACACAGACAACACCTGTCGGCCACCGATCGGAGACAATCACTACTGAAGACCAGTCATTAATCTCCGAGGACATTGTAAATGACGGTCAGATAGAGACAGACACTAGAAGTGATGGATGTGTTGACACAAATACAGAGACAATTCATATCGTGAATGAAAATGAGATTAAAGAGGAGAAGGAGGACACGGATTGGTCACCGCTTTCTGTGATGAAGTACTCGACATATAATAAGCCGAAGAGACAGAGATTACAACACAAGGCGAGGAAATCATGTGTGAGTTCACCGCCGAAGACATCAATCTATATCTGCAATTTGATGGGATGTGTGGACACATTCATAACGAAGAGTCTATTGGATAATCACCGGAAAGTCAATCACAAAATTGATGTCCCGTTTGGTGCGCGACAATTAGTCGTCAAAACAGATCCGCAAAGTTCTTCGTCACTCAAGCCGTTTGCTTGCAATTACGAAAACTGCAACTTTCGAGCCGTCAATCAATTGCTACTTAACAAACATCTGGAAAGTCACGATAGAGCTAACCATCAGTTCTTTTGCGATTACGATGACTGCGGCCGAAGTTTTGCACACAAGAGGGCTCTCAAAATACATCAACGCAGTAGCGGACACTTCGATGACACCGACGATATGGCGATTCCGGGGCCGCCCTATGGCTGCCAAAGACGTAACTGTAAGAAAGCCTTTACGACATTATGGAAACTGAAGAGACACGTGGATCAGGTGCACGACGGGGTCCGGCCATTCGCGTGTCACGACTGTCCGCAACGGTTCCAGTCGTGTAGTAGTCTTCGCATACATCGGCTGCAAAAGCATTCATTGGAACCGAAAGTGTTTAAATGCGATTTCATTGGCTGTGAGTTCGAGACTAACGTTTCAAACAGTTTGGATCAGCACAAGAAACGTCACCTGAATATCAAAAAGTTTGTCTGTGAAGAGACAGACTGTGCGATGAGTTTTATCAGTAAAGCCGACCTCAAGAGGCATATGCGGTCGCACAGCGATGAACGGCCGCATCGGTGCGATTGGCCCGGATGTGAGTCCGCCTACAAAAGGGCCGACTTGTTGGCCGATCACAGGCGCCGACACACCGGAGATCTGCCGTTCGTTTGCGATGAATGCCAGCGAAGGTTTCCCTCCAAAAACACACTCAACGCTCACAACAGGGATATACACATCAATGGGACGGACAATAAGAGGTTTAAATGCGATGTCAGCGGCTGTTCGTGGGTTACAAACAAACCGTTTTTTCTTAAAGTCCATCGACGGACGCACCAAAATCTCCGGCCGTTTGTGTGCAAAGAGACCGATTGTGGGAAGAGTTTTAACCTCAAGAGCACTCTCACGAAACACATGCGGTGTCACAGCGATGAGCGGCCGTTTCGGTGCGATTGGCCCGCATGTGAGTCCGCATACAAGTCATCCAAAGGTTTAGCCGATCACCGGCGCACACATACCGGCGAACGGGAGTTCATGTGTCCGTTTCCCGGTTGCGGCAAAAATTATACGTCCAGTTCTATTCTCTCAACGCATAAAAACACTCACAAACAGCCGTATGTCTGTCATTGGCCGGCGTGTGACCAGAGGTTTGGCGATAATCGCCGACTTAAGGCTCATATTGCCGAACATCAGGGCATTCGTCCCCATAAATGCCATTT